TCACTCAACAGAAAACTGCCAGAGAAGCTGAAAACCAGGAAGAAGGAGAAACACAAAAAATCAGCTTTCATTGCTTTTCACAAGCATTTTAATTAACCAAGGAATTGTGTTGCATACACATGACTCTGATTATTTTAAATGTCTGCTATATATGCTATACCTCTGTCCCGAGTGACAATGCATCCCATCCAGAATAACCTTTTCTCAGGAAGAGATAATCACCTATCCCAGACTCATTTGAAGTAGTAATCAACATCCCTTTCATGACTTTGTCTGCATTGCTGATGTTCTGGGGAAACTTTATTTGGCAATGGTGTTAGGGGCCTCATTGCAAGTCCAGGAGGTAATGGAGTCAGGATTTCAGCCGAGGATGTCTTAATAATGGCCTCATCAAGGTGTATGAAGTTGTAATGAAAATAGCAGGTGAATTTGACTGGCAAATAGCACATTATGAGTCTTCCTACTAATTAGAGTTGCCTAAAAATGGAATGGGCTGTCATATGAGGTGATGAGCTCCCCGTCAGAGAGTCGGGGACGTTGAAGAGGGGTTCCTTGTCAAGTAGAAGTTAGACTCAATGATCTTTTGGGCCTCTTCCAACTTTCATCTGGATTCTATGGCTGTTTTATGTCCACACCGTCTGGAAGTCTTGACTTTGGCAACTGACAAAGTAGGTTCCACGATGGAATGAGATAGAGTGGAAAGTCAGACAGTCCTGGGTTCAAATCCCTGCTCTAGCATTGCATTATGTGACTGTGAGGAGGTTACTGAAACTCTCTCTGCCCCCATAAATGAGGATTGAAATGTATTGCTTCTAGGGCTGTTGTAAGAGTAAGGAATAATGTATTTAAGCACTCAGTAAATCATAGCTTAAGAATCTAATTCTTTTACATTTTTATTCCTTGTCCACTTCAATGATACAGTCATGGTTCATAAAAACAGAGAAAAATGGAGGGATCATAAAGATATGGGAGCAAGGTTGTCCAGGGCTGGACCAGTTGAACAAAGCAGACTGAACAAATCTTCATAAGTCACTACCAGGTAGAGTGTCCTGAGCAGGTAGAGTGGGCAGCAGCATCACCTTCCTGAGAAAGACTCTGAGCATTGCTGCGTGCCTACAGTGTGCTGGGCACATGCATATGTTTTCTTAATCTTTATACCATTGCCATACCAACTCTGATTTTTCCCATTTAACAGAGAAGAAAACTGAGGTTCTGAGAGCTTACACACCTAACCCAGGGACATATGGCCATTCCCCAGAACCAGCTCACCCACCCTACCCCCAAGTCCCCCAGCATTCAGCTCCACCCTCCAATCACAGGGCAGAGTAAATCCAGGTGCCCAATTGCTTCCTGGGAAAGATACTCCCACCTGATAAGATATGGTAATGGAAGACCAAGCAATGAGCGCCTCTGGAAGGCTAATGTTGGGAAAACTGAGCCTTAGTTTGCAGATTCAAAATTAACTGTGATTTGCCATTAACTCATTCCTTACCCATTTACTTGGAGCTTTACAGAAAGGTTGTATGTGTCTGTTAGACAGTCTTAGCCCCTCTTGTCCACATGGTTCACAATTTTAAGGTGCACAAAGGCATGCAATGAACAGTCATCCTTGCATCCTGCCTCCCAGGTACCCAGTTCTCCTCCCTAGAGGCAGCTTGTCAGTTTCTATACATAGCCAGAGGTTTATGTTTTTGTTTCTTAATCGAGGCAAAATTTACAAAACATACAATTAGCTGTTTTAAAATGTACAATTCAGTGGCATTTAGTGTATTCATAATGTTGTGCAACCACTACTGCTTTTAGTTTCAAAACTTGTTCATCACCCTAGGAAAAAAACACAAAAAGCAAAATTACCCATTAAGTAATCACTCCTGACCCTCCCTTCCCCATCTCCGGTAACCTCTAATCAGCTTTCTGTCTCTGTTGGTTTGCCTATTCTGGATATAACTTATAAAAGGAATCATACAATCTGTGAACTTTAGTGTCTGTCTTCCTTCACACAGCATAAAGTTTTTGAGGCTCATACAAATTGTAACATTTGGTCAGGCTTGGTAGCTCACACCCATAATCCTAGCACTTTAGGATGCCGAGGCAGGAGGATCGCTTGAGCTGAGGAGTTTGAGACCAGCCTGAGAAAGAACAAGACCCTGTCTCTACTAAAAAATAAAAAAATTAGCTGGGTGTGGTGGTACGTGTCTACTGTCCCAGCTACTTGGGAGGCTGAGGCAGGAGGATCACTTGAGCCCAGGAGTTTGAAGTTCCAATGAGCTATGATGATGCCACAGCACTCTAGCACAGGCAACAAAGAGAGACCCTGTCTCAAAAAAAAAAGAAAAAAAAAAGAAAAGAAGAAAAGAAAAGAAAAACAAAAAAGCCCCAAATTGTAGCATTCATCAACTCTTCATTCCTTTTCATGGCCAAATAATGTTCTGTGTATATACCATAATTTATTTATTCATTCATCCATTGATGGACATTTATTTAGGTTGTTTTCAATATTGGCTATTATGAATACTGCTTCTATAAACATTTGTTTACACATTTCTGTGTGGACATATGTTTTCCTCTCTCTCAGGTATACACCTAAGAGTGGAATTGCTGGGTCATATGGTAATTCTATGTTTAAATTTTGAGAAATCCAGAGGATTATAATGCATGTAATTTCACCTGTTTTCACACCGTTGCTAGCATACTCTGCACATGGTGCTGCACTTTGCTTTATTCACTTGACAACGGGTTTTAGAGATCTTTCCAGTGGTGTGCTAGTAAATGTTTAACAACCAGCTCTCATAGGATCGCAAGTGCCCTGATCTGTAGCATTTCAAGATTTCCATGATGTAACTCCCACCATGGCCAATTTCAGGCTACATAAAGTGACAGACTGCAAAGAAGAGACTCTGAGAATCTGCCCCACTGAACCGGTCCAAGCTGGCTCTAGAACTCTGCTGGATCATTCTGTATCAGAGCATGAAGAGCTGCCTCATTCCCCTTTATGACTGCATAGCATGCCATTTTAGGAAGTGCTATAATTTTTTAACCAGTCCCTGATGGTAGACACTTAGGTGGTTTCCAGTCTTTTACTTCCACAAACCAGGCTTTCATGGATAACCTCATGCATGTCATTTCACTCATGCAAATACAGTAGACATGGTTCTATGACTTCGTAAGAATCACCATGGGAAGAAGTTCTTAAAAGGCAATTTATTACTTCATTGGACAGTTATGGTTGTTAGGAAGAATTCGATGCAAAGAAATCATCTATTTTTGTCCCTGTTTCCTTGTGAATAAAATGGATGCAAATTAACCAGCCACTTGCCAATGTCAAAGGATTGTCATAAAACTTTGGAGTGAAATTGAAAAGCACGTTTTTCTTTTAAAAATAGGAATTTGTGTAAATACAAAGAACCGTGGTTAAAATTTAATAACCAAAAGAGCTTTCACAAGTAGGTTGGTGGGGAAAAAAAATCCATTCTTAGGACATAATGATCCTGCTCAAGTCTTAATAAAGGCGAGATTCACAGCAGAGAGACTCAGTCAGCTGATTCAGAAATAGGATAGTTGAAATAGAGCTTTACCTCAGCTCTTACTTAGAATTTTTCACTGAGGAACTTTGAGACAATGTTTCTCAACTATGCTTGTACAGATGGTCCTCGACTTATGAGAGGGTTATGCCCCAATAAACCCATTGTAAACTGAAAATATTGTAAGTCAAAGAGCCTCAGTTATGTACTGATAAACTCAGAGTAAAGTCAAAAAATCATAGGTTGAGCCATCCATCATAACTTAGATGGTCCTTGATTTATAATGGAATTATATCCCAATAAACCCCATTGTAAAGTGGGAAACTTCCAAATCGAACCATCATAAGTCAGGGACCATCTGTACTTTAGAATTATATGGGAAACTTTTAAAATCTTTTCCCTAGGCCACAGCCCAGACTAATCAAACTGGACTCTCTGGAGGTGGGGACCCCGGCATCTGTATTTTTAAATCTCCCCTGGTGACTGCACTGTTCAATCAATGTTGAGAAGAGAACATAAGGAAGGAATCAAATTAAGGAAGTAGGGAAACACGTTTGTTGGCACTGTCTGGACAAACAGAACCAGTGGGGTGTGTGTGTGTGTGTGTGTGTGTGTGTGTGTGTGTGTGTGTATAAATTTATTTCTTCCTGGCTGGAGACCCAGGAAGAGCCAGTGCTCAGGTCCAGTCCTGAGGCCATGAGGCTGGGGAAAGAGCCAGTGTTGCACGTTAAGTCCAAAGGCATGTGCTGCTGCATTCCCTCTTGCTTGGGGATGTCGATCTTTTGTTCTCTTCAGGCCTTCAGCTGATTGGATGCGCCCACCCATCTATGGAAGGCAACCTGCTTTGCTCAAAGTCCTCTGACTTAAATGTTAATCTCATCTATAACACTCTCACAGAGACATCCAGAATAACGTTTGACCCCATATCTGAGCACCATGGCCCATCAAGTGGACACAAAATGAACTGTTACAATTTAACAGTTTGGTGATACTCAAAAACTTCATCTTTAGGACGTGAAGACAGGAGCTCAGTGCTTACTTGAAGTTGTGCTTCTCTTGTTTGGTTAAGGTTCCCCCTGAAATTCCTCAACTGCTCCTCCAAGAGGAACATTAACTTGTCATTTGCAAGCCCTGTTTCCAAAGCCCACCGATTTTATTAAAATTAAGGATTATGAAAAGATAAAAATGATTTTAATTTCTATTATCCCTGAATTGGATGTTTTTATTAGAAGATTATCAATGTTTTTGTCAGCAGGAATGTGTGTAGATAATTGTGCAAGGAGATTCACCAGAGTAGGTATGAAAAGTTTGATCTTAAGTCACGAATATATTCCTTTAAAAAAAAATCTGATTCCTTCTGTTCTCTTGAAAACAACCCAGTGTCCAAACCCAGAGCTCAGGATTGGTGGCAAGAGATCTATTGATCCCAATGGGAAGGAACCCATGGTTTATTGGGAAAATCCTGGACAATCTACTTACCCCTTCTGCCCTTCTGCTTTGGAGACTTTCCAGGTCACCCGCAATGGAATCTGCTTTTGTCCATAAAGGATTGGAAGTTGAATTTAGAATCTGGTTGTACTAAGCAGCTGAACATCAGGTTGCCTGGATTTCCCGAGGTGTTTAATCTCAAGTAACAGGTGAGAAATAGGAGGCCTTTGCCGGAGCAGCAATCTCAGCTCTGCACTTCCAGCTGGCCTAGTGCCCCCACGCTTACTCAAGCTCCAAGTTCAGAGCACGAACTTGGAATATGCAGCCCAGTGCGAAGACCCAGGCCATGAGGACAAAGGGGGGGGGGTCTGAGGACTCACGCTGAGGCTCTCACAGCGTCCATATGCGGTGCTGTGATCAGGGAGCCTGGCTTCTGCCTGGAGCCACTTTTAACCTGTGGAACCAGCTGACTGGCAACACGGGACCGCTGTGAGTCAGCAGGAATCTGAGTCAGCCTCATTGATTGGGGAGTAGGAGGGCGTAGGTTGAGTTTGTGGGGACCCTGAATGGGTTTTTGTGGTCATGGAAATAGTTTCATTTTGCCAGCCACAAATCAACTAGCATTCATGCAAGCCCAGAAGCAGAAGAGCCGAAGTTAAAGATAAACCAACCCTTTCTCTTTAGGGAAGGCAGAGCAAAGCCCTAAAATGGGAACTGGGGCGTGGGCATCTGCCTTGAGTTGGGGACTTGAGGGGAAAGGGCAACAGCACCGGGTCTCTCTCACGTGGCCTCTCTGCTTTCACAGGAGGGCGTGTGGGGACAGCCGTCTGAGCACAGGGGACGTCTGAGCACGGGAGACGGCAGGAGCTGGTGCAGCATTGCACAGGCTAAAGTTCCGGGGAATCAGAGCCTCAATGTTCTATCTAAAACCTGTTGTAATGACATCGGGGTGAGGAGCCCCCGCTGTGTGGGTGTGGTGTGCGTGGGCAGGACCGGTGGGCAGCAGGACCAGCTGCTCCAGCTGTTAAAGCATTGGAACATTTCCACGAGAGCCCTGTTCGCCTGCCCACTCTGGAACCTCAGGAACTAAGCTTAGCTCCTGGCACAGAGAAGCATCCAGAAAACATGGACATCTTTGGGAGGCCGTTGTTGTGCCTACCACAGGCAGGGAAAGAATAAATGACATGGGACATGTTATCGTGCCAGCGAGTAAAGAGATGCTCCATAAATAATAAGGGCATGTCAGTAGCATACCAGGAGCCAGCTTGAAGGGCCTTTTATTAGTTTGCCAGGACTGTCGTGAAAAAGTATCACAGAAATTTACTTTGTCCCTGTTTGAGAGGCTGGGAGTCCCACATCAAGGTGTCAGCAGGTTTGGTCACTCCTAAGGCCCCTCTTCTCAGCTTGCAGGGCCGCCTTCTCTCTGTGTCCTCACACAGCCTCTCCTCTGTGCGTGCACGGAGGCCCAGCAGGAGATCGCTGGTGTCCTTCTTATAAGGACACAAATCCTATCGAATCAGGGCCCCGCCCTTATGGCCACGTTTAACCATAAGTACCTCTTTAAAGGCCCTCTCCTCAAATGCAGTCACACTGGTGATTAGGGTTTTAACGGATGCATTTTGTGGGGACACAATTCAGGTCCTAACAGGCCTCCCCTCTGTAGTGTGATCCAGGTCCTGCTCTGTGAGCAAAAGCAGGGCAAGAAAGCTCTCTGGGCATCAGAACGTGGGGGCAAGATGGGTGTGGTGTGGAGAATCACCCGACACTCCGTAGATGGCTTTTGATCCCACGTTGCGTGAGCGACTGACTGCATGCACATTCAGTTTGGACAGATTTGTGCCCCCTTTCAGTTCTATCATTTAATCTATTTCTCCTGTTAATTGTTGCATGGGCAGACAGCATTGGATGGCTATGGAATGTGTGAATCTACTTTGGGTATCTTGATCCTATAAATAAGAGATAACACCTTTTGGCTTCTTCCTGGCCCTAAATTAGTCCTTGAAGTGTTATATAATAGCCTGCAGGCCACACTGCTCAATCTGTCCCCACCACAGCCAGGGCTGCCTCCGTGTCCAGCCAGTCATGTTCTCAATGCCCCCTGTCACCTCCAAACCCAGCTTAACGCAATTCTCATGGCTACACTAAAGATAAAACTATAAGAAAAATGTAGCAGAGGTTATTAAGCAAAAACAGAATCACTTAGAAATAACGTTTTCTTTCCTTTCTTCTTTCTTTCCTGCTATAACGTAATGAAGGAAAGTCATCCACAATAACAAGACCATTACAGTATTTTTGCATTTCTTTTCAATGTTTTCCATGTCTGTACCTGGGTATTGCTTCAGTCACAGTGTAGATGCAATTGTATATTCTGCTTTTTACTCTTAACCTTAGAGAATTTAATATGTTGCATGGCGGTTTTAAAGCATACCTACGAATTATTTGTCAATTCTCTTATGAAGAGGTGGCATCCATGCCCCTACCCGTGAACCTGGGATGGCTTAGTGACTGCTTTGTGAACAATAGAATGCAGCAGAACTGGTGCTGTTTAATTTCCAAAATTGGGTCAGAAAAGACCACACAGCTCCTGCCAGGTTGTCTTGGGATACAAGCTCCAGGGGAAACCAACGAGCGCAATGCCAGAAGGCCAGGTATCCTGAGACCGCTGTGCTGGAGAGCCCACGTGAAGACGCTGTGACGACAGCCCAGCCGGGCCGCAGCTGGCAGCAGCGTGAACTCCTAACCATATGCACGAGCCGTCTTGGACATCCAGCCCAGGCCAGTCATCAGCTGTTTGCAGCCCTGCTGACGTCGTACTGCAACTGCATGGGTGACCTCAGATGAGAATTTCTCAGCTCAACCCCTTTCAAATTCCTGACGCACAAAATTCCAAGCAGAATAAAATGGCTGCTTAAGCCACTACATTTTGAGGAGATTCATCACACAGCAAGAGTAACCAAATTGAACTTTGGTACCTGAAATGAGGGGCTGCTATAATAAAAACCTAAACCACATGGCATTGACTTTGATATTGGGCAGCAGACAGGGGCTGGAGGGGCCTTGAGTCTGTCAGCTGAAACCTCCTGGGCCTTCAGCAGTGCAGTATGTCAGGGAGGGCTTGAAGGAAAGTGAGGAGAATGTTAAGAGAAGCTGACGGAAAGGAGAACATTGTTACATAATGGTGGAAAGTTTAGCAAAGCTATCACCTGCAGTAATGTGGAAAATACAATATGTAGCAAATGAACTCTATGATGTAGCTAAGAAAATTTCTAGGCAAAGTGTTTAAAGATGCCACGTGGCTTATTCTAGCCGCCTTTAATACAATGAGAGCAGAGAGATAAAAACAGATAAACTAAAAAATATCAACTATTTAATTTTCAACTGAAATTTGGAAGAAATATAAAGTGCCCAAGAGAATATTTTCAGCCAGCAAAGGACTCCCACAGAGAGAAAGGGCCTCGGGGAAAAGATCAAATCCAGGGCTCTCTCAGGAAAATGTAGTCATGGGGTAAAAATTAGCCAGAGAAGTGACTTGAGAACACCTTTTTTAGGATTTCGCAAAGACTTAAAATGGTATCTCATAGACACTGTCAGCTAGATAAAATGTGTCCAAGGATCTTAAGATCATGCTTAAGATATGATGTGTGGCAGTGTTCAAATATACCTGCAAATTATTTGTCATTCCTCTTATGCGTAGGTGCTATCTATGTCCCCTGCCCATGAACCTGGAAGGCTTTGTAGATCATCCTTTTAAATGACAGAGCTTCTAGGTTCTCAAGGACTTTGCCCCTCACCAGCATTATAGAGTCAAAGATAGAGAGGAGTCTTACCTAAAGACCTTTTATGATTTTTGTCTAATGAAGGGAAGTCTAATAAGATTCATAAAAACTGCTAAAATTTTCAAGAGAATTATACTGGCAGAAGCAATACCATCTTGGGCTGAAAGAGACAGAAGCAACACAAAATGAAGATTTAGATCTACAACCTTCTGGGAAAGGAGCAGGATAAGAAAGCTACCTACCTAGCTACAATCATGGGCTGCTCACTATAGAAAAGGAGAGATGAAGAGAAACCCACATGGGGGAGCCAAGAACCTTGGCTTCTAAAGAATAGCGCTGGGCCCTAATCAAGAATTAGTTACATGTATCCCACTGGATTTCAAATTTCTGTGGACTAGTGACTGGTTTGTGCTTCCCATCCCTTCCTTTTGGGAATAGGAGTGTCTATTGGATTTATTCTATCCCTTGATCTCATTAGTCTTCAGGTCTTAGATACTTGAGCAGACTGAGTCACACCTGGTTCAGGATGATGACATCCTGAACCTCAAGCCTGAGCCTGATGCTGCAATAGTTGAGTTTTTGGGAAATCTTGATAAGGGGAAGGGTATTTTGCATGTGGGAGGAATGCAAATGTGACTGTGGCAATTTTAAAACACGTCTTTAATTCCTTTGGCAGTCCTCTCATGAAGGGATAGAGTCTGTATCCTCCCCCCTTGCATTTGGGTCAACATTAGTGATTCACTTGTAACCAAAAGAATGCAGTAGACATGATGCTGCACAACTTTCAAGATCATATCAGAGAAAGCTACAAACCTTCCACCTGGTGTTCTTGGGACATTAGCTCTGGGAGAAACCAGAGCCGTGTAAGAAATCTGATGACTCTGAGGATGTTATGCTGGAGAGGCCGGGTAGAGGTGGCCTGGTTGACAGCCAGGCTAAGCTTCTGCCTGTCAGCCAGCACCAACTGCCTGTCCCATGTGTCACTGATCTTGGAGGACAAGCCCAGTCAAGCCACTGGGTGACTGCCATGCCTGCTGAGGTCTGATTGCAATATGTGACATATTGCAAGTAAGAACTTCCCAAACCTTTTGAATTCATGACCCAAAAAACTGTGAGCAAAAGAAAATGACTGGTTTAAGCTGCTATGTTTTAAGGTACTTTGTTATGCACCAATAGTGACTAGGCCAGGTTGCTTACCTAGTCTTCATAAATATCCTTTAAATTACTAAAGCTGCTTTCTGGATTTTTTCTTCTCCAATGTAGGTAATAAAAATAATAAACTTCCTCATCTTCCTTCTTTTGGATTATTTCCATAGAATAAATTTCCAAAAGAAGAATAATCAGGTGAAAAAGTATGAACATTTTCATAATTTCTAATCCATGCTGTCAAATTACTTTCCTAAAAGATAGTACCAATGTGTCACCGGCAACTCATGATACAGCAGTTTGATTGCAACTTCACCAGATTCGGGTATTGTAATTTTAAAACAAATTTAAAAGCATCACAAATTCAAAAGCTGCTCTTGTGTACTTATTGTAAAATTCCACTAACCGAATCCTAGGAGGGAATTCGCACTACTTGTAGCAATAGAATCCTCTCCCACTCAGTCTAACTCAGCCCTTTATTATCTGGTGAGTGCT